ATGATTTTGAGAAAGATGTGGATTTGGAAGTTACTAGGTTTCATGTATCATGAACTAATCTAGACAATCACTAACTACTTTCTGTCTCTATAGATTTGTCTATTTTGGACACTTCATATAAATGGATCACATGATATGTGGCCTTTTGTGACTGGCTTCTTCACTTAATATAATGTTTTTAAGGTTCATCATGTTGTAGCATGTATCAATACTTCATTCCTTTTTATTGCCAAATTCTTCATTTTATGGGTATACCACATGTCGTTTATCCATTCATCTGTTGGACATTTGATTGTTTCCACCTTTTGACTATCATGAATAATTCTGCTATGAACATTTATGTGGACATACATGTTCATTTTTCTTTGGTATATACCTAAGAGTGGCATTGCTGGATCATATGGTAACCATATTTGAGGAAGTCAGACTTTTTTCCAAAGTGCTTTTATTATTTTACATTCCCACAAGCATTGTCTAAGGATTACAATTTCTTCACATCCTTGCCAACTCTTTTTGTTATCTCTCTGTGTGTTTTCATAATAGCCATCCTAGTGTATGTGAAGTGGTATTTCATTATGGGTTTAAATTTTTTTAAAAATTATTGATTGATTTGAGAGAGAGAGAGAAAGGAAGGGATTGAAAAAGAGAGAGATCGATTTGTTGTTCTGCTTATTTATGCACTAGAGGCCCAGTGCACGAATTTGTGCACGGTGGGGTCTGGCTGGCCCACCCTAATTGGGGCCAATCGGGCTGGGCCGGCCAGGGGGAGGGGCCGAGGGCAGTTGGCAGGCTGGCCCTGCCCCCTGGTTGAACTCCCAGTTGAACTTCCAGTCGAACGGACAATTTGCATATTAGGCTTTGATTATATAGGATTTCTTGGTTGCTTCTTGTATGTGCCCTGACCAGGAATTGAACCTGCAATCTTGGCATATCGGGATGATGCTCTAACCAACTGAGCTACCCAGCCAGGGCCTCATGGTTTTGATTTGTATTTTTTCATGTGCTTATTGGCCATTTATATAACTTCATTGAAGAAATGTTTGTTCAGTCCTGGCTGAGTAGCTCAGTTGATTAGAGCATCATCTCAGTATGCAAAGGTTATGGGTTTGATCCCCAATCAGAGCACATAGAGGAAACAACCAATGTATAAAGAGGTGGAACAACAAACTGATGTTTCTCTCTCCCTTCCTAATTCTCTTTCAAATCAACAAAATAAAGTAAAAATAAAGTGTTTTAAAAAGTGTTTGCTTGCTTCCATTTCTTTCATTTGTGACATATTTCTTTGTCTCCGCATTTTGACTGCTTCCCTGTGTTTGTTTCTATGTATTAGGTAGAGCTGAAATTCTTAGAGTGGCCTTGTGTAGAAGGTGTCCTGTAGGGCCCAGTGGCTAAGCCTCCCAGTCACCTGAGCTGGGCACTCTAGGTGTGGGCTGTGTGCAAAGTCTTGTAATTGAGCCTTGATTGCTATTGGCCTCACTAGGAGGAGTTGATCTCCAGGCCAATTGGCTGTGAGGACCAGCTGCGACTACAGTGGAAGAGCTGCTCTGTAGGAGACACCCCTATGGATCAGGACTTGCTTCAGTGGGGTTTTGGTGCTCACTGAGTCTGCCTGTGGAGTATGTTGCTCTCCACTGAGCCAAACTGACTAGGGCCGTGGTCGGCAAACTGTGGCTCGCGAGCCACATGCGGCTTTTTGGCCCCTTGAGTGTGGCTTTTCCACAAAATACCACATGCGGGCGCACGTGCGGTGCGATTGAAACTTCGTGGCCCATGCGCAGAAGTTGGTTTTCGGCCTGTGTGAGTCTATTTTGAAGAAGTACTGTTGATATTTGGCTCTGTTGACTAATGAGTTTGCCGACCACTGGACTAGGGCTTAGTTGTAATTGATGTGATTGTGGTTCCTCTCAGATTATTGGCCCTTTTATTATTGAGGTAAGAGTTCTCTATATATATTTTAGTTGCAAATCTCTTATTATATATATATATGATCTACAAAAAATTCATTTTGTGGGTTGTCTTTTCATTTTCTTGATGTTATTCTTTTAAGCACAAAAGTTTTTAGTTTTGATGAATCTAGTTTACCTGTCCCCTCACCACTCTTTGGTTATTTGTGCTATTGGTATCATATCTAAGAAACCATTTCCAAAATCAAGGTCATGAAAGTTTATGCCTATATGTTCTTCTCTCTTCCAAGAGTTTTGTTTTTTTAGCTCTCTCATTTAGGTCTTTGATCCATTTGGGGTGCTAGTCTTGAACTTGTCTCTTACTTGCTTTGTGAACTTGGATTGTTGTTCACTTGCCTTTTCTCAGCTTCACTCAGTGATTGCCACGGACTGGGAGTCAGGGGTGGGGGCATTGACTACAAAGATGAGAGAACTTTTGGGGGCAATGATAATACTTTATATCTTAACTAGAGGCCTGATGCACGAAATTCGTGCAAGGGGCTCAGCCCTGGTAACTGCGGCGGCTGCCTCAGCCCTCGCTGCCCCGGCTGACGTTCGGCTATCTAGTCTAATTAGCATATTATGCTTTTATTATTATAGATTGTAGTGGCGTTTTTACAACTGCATACATTTTTCAAGTCTTATAGAACTGTATACCTAAAATGGGTAAGTTTTACTATATGTAAAGGAACCTGTCTTAAAAAATACCTTCCAACAACTACAAAGTATGTGTTATTTTTTTTTCTATTTTGAGGCTAGAGGAAACCAAGGCTTAGAAAGGCCAGTGGGCTTGCCTGTGGTCCCACATTTGATATGTGGCAGTTCAGGATTTGAACCTAAATCTGCCTGATCACAGAGCTTGTGATCTTCCTATTCATTTTTAACTGGCCCATAAACTGTTAACAGTGTGTGGATTCTGTTGTAAAAGGCTGACCTTCCCTTGAAAGCCAGGAACCCTGTCTGTTTGCAAGCAGCACCCCCAAAGTGGCTGTCATATTATTCCAAATTTTGAGCCCCTGGCAGACCTCATTTCTGTCAGACATTAGCTGGGATTGGAATTGATGCTGTTGTGGAGTGCTGCCTAGGCATGATCTCCTTCTGAGACCGTGGCCCTTATTTTGGAGCAGCAGGAGACCAGTTTCAAAGCTGATGAGTTTCTTCGGATATAAAAAGCAATTTCATACTTTGTCCAATCAGCAAAATAGAGTCTTCTCAGTAGGAGAGTGCTCAGACGTTTACAGGGCCAGTTGTGCTGCTTAGCATATTAACAGTCGTCCTTATCCTGGCTTATTTAGCAGAGAACTGGTTGGATAGAGGAGAGATCCAAGGCATTGGAAGTGTACGGGTAGTCTGTGTTGCTACATCACTGCCATCATCAGTTACATCTGCATGTAACTTTACAGTTTTGCAATGTTGTTTTAACATCTGTGACCTCTCTTAATTCTCTCAGTACCCTGTCAAGAGAGTGCTTTTATTTAGAGAGAGTTACTTGGCTGTATTCTAGGATAACTCTGGATTTAAGAATATTTTTTTCCTTAAGTTGTGCTGAAATATAAATCTCCTAACTTTCATCATCAAATTGTTTTAGTTTCAGTTTGTCAACTTGTGGTAGTATAATGTCTGATGCCCTGCGGGGGGGGGGGGGGGGGGGGGGGGGCCCCGCCCTCCCCTTTGGGTACATTTCAGGAAGTTCCATCCTCAGAAATTGGCCAGTGGCATTTTCCTCTTTGCCTGTTTGACCTCCTCGGCTTCCTCTCCTTGGGAACCCATCTTTTCTCCACTTCTCATTACAGAACCCAGACAAACTAAACTAATTAATTGCAGAGCAATTGTTATCAAGCCAGCTGTTGACTGCTTGTCTTCAACATTTGACTGTTTCCTATCTGGAGGTGGTACTGGAAAAGTTAATGACCTAAAAAAAAACAACAACAAAAAAAACTGCCCATCTATCATGTGAGCCTAGTTAGGAGGGAATTTTTTCATTTTTATGAAGTGTAAATAATATGTATGTTTTCAAACATGTGTTGGCCTGTGTTTCAAAGATGGTTCCCTAAACAAGGTGGGACAAATTGGCTGGCTAATAGAGCTTAATAGCAGATTTTCCGTTAATCAGAATGGAGAATGTGCTTCATTAAGATAATTAACAGAGCACTTGTGCAGGTGGTACTTATTACACACAAATTTCCAAGTTTATTTCTTTCCCTTGAATAAATGTTGAAAGAGGTCTTGGCTGTGTTTCCTTGTTTGCATTAAAATGATCAATGGTGCCAAAACCGGTTTGGCTCAGTGGATAGATTGTCAGCCTGCGGACTGAAAGGTCCCAGGTTCGATTCCGGTCAGGGGCATGTACCTTGGTTGCGGGCACATCCCCAGTAGGAGGTGTGCAGGAGGCAGCTGGTCGATGTTTCTCTCTCATCGATGTTTCTAACTCTCTATCCCTCTCCCTTCCTCTCTGTAAAAAATCAATAAAAATATATTTAAAAAATCTTTAAAAAAAATAAAATAAAAAATAAAATAAAATGATCAATGGTGATAAATTTCCCTTTTTTTCCCCCTCAAAGCTGTTAGTAACTAGTATCTTGTCCTCTGCAGGTGCTAAGGGTTGATGAGACACTTGCTACTCTTCCTTCTAGAAGTCTGTGTGCTCTTCATCAGACACTCGGGCTCCGCTAGGGAATAGAAGTGTACCCTTTCCCAGCTCCTGGACTAGCATCCTTAGAATTAAAATGGACCTCAGAGAGGCTAAATTGATTGATTTTACATCAGGATGTTGACAGCAAGAGAGGGGTTAGCATGCTAGTGACAGAGTCATCTGTGATAGTGGGACTAGTACTGGCTGAGAGACAATGGCCTGGGTTGACGTTAGGCAAGTGTTATCTGTTTCCTAATATCTTCATCTGTATATTAGGAAAAGTGTCTAGCAGAAGGCCAACTACAAACAAATGGCTTTTTGTTTTAATCCTGTTTCTACTATAAACTGAAGATTATAGGGAGGAAACTGATGTCAGGGAGAATGAACAGTTAATAATCAATGCTATTTTCTTTGTTTTTCTGTAGGATCCTCAGTCTTCCACAATGAACCCTGTGTATAGCCCCGTGCAGCCTGGGGCTCCTTATGGCAACCCTAAGAACATGGCTTACACAGGTGAGTGGTATGAGAATGGCTCTCATTTTGAGAAATGATGGTTAAGGGCATTGCCAAATAAATTGCTGAATGACTTTTGGTGTACTCTGCCTCCAGAAGGTTTGTTTGGTAAAGCTTGCAAACTTGTAGAAGGGAGATATGTCTGGCGTCCAGTGGACATGGAAATCACATTATTGAGACTAATGCTCACTGAATTGTCAGCTAAGGGAAAGGAAGGGAGGTAACATTCATTTATTGCGTGCCTACTATGGGCCTGGGCCTGTGCTGGGCACTTTAATCTTTCTTTTTTTTAATCTTCTCCTGAGGATATGTTTTTATGGGTTTTTAGAGAGAGAAAGAGAAACATTTATGTGAGAGAGAAACTCAGTTGCCTCGAATGCCTCGAATATGTGCCCCAACTGGGGATCAAACCCACAACCTAGGTATGTGCCCTGACCAGGAATCGAACCTGCAACCTTTTGGTTTATGGGACGATGCTCCAACCAATTGAGTCACCTGGTCAGGACTGGGCACTTTAATCTTAAAGCATTTCTGTAATGTACTTATCATCACCATGTCACAGATGAGAAAGTCATAGTTACAGTAAGAGGCTACAATACAAAATAAAAATAGATATTTGAGCCCAGGTCTGCTGATTGTGAAGGCTGATTAATTTTCCCCCTGAACAGCATACCAAACTGTTTCCTACTTCTCTGCCTTTGTGCGTGTTGTCCCTCTGTCTCAAATGCTGTTGTCTCCTGATAGCTTCACTTTATTCTTCAAGAATTCAGCTTGAGGCCCAGATAGCACTTTTCCAGGAAGCATTCTCTCCCTTATTTGGCCTTAGGCAAGTTTTTTACCTTCCAGAGCCTCAGTGTTTTCATTATAAAATGAGAGCAATAGTATTGCTCTCATTTTATAAGGCTGCTGTAAGGATTAAATGAGCTAGTGTAAAGCACTCAGCATATATTTGGTACAAAGTGCTTAATAACAGTTGTTATGATTTACAAATAAATAAAGATGGATTGGATGTATGGTAGTGAAAGTGAGTGAGAAAATATATATTAAGTTGCTAGCATGGTGCTTAACATATAATGAGCCTTCAAAAATATCATGAATTTAAGTCGAAGGTGAAGGTAACAGTATGAACAAACACATGGAAGTAAGAAAGTTTGCTCAAGGTATAGTCAATACTTGAGGTTAGCTGGAGTGAAGAGTAGAAAAGGGGAAAAGTGGGAAATGAAGTTCAAAAAGTAGATTAATAATGGTCTTGGTGGCAGGGATCTCAGGGAACTCCTGGGTCGTTCCAACTGTCCTATAAGAGAGAGCACTAAGGGTGCTTCAGAAATTCCTCAAATATATTATCTTATATTTTAAAAATATTTAGAACTATTTATATAAAGCACACATACACATAAGATGATCAGTGTGTTACTTTAAGCTTCTAAGAATGCATATTAATTTTAAAATACTGCTAACATTTGCAGCTACTTACTTGTAAATCAGGATTTTTCTCAATGCTCCTAAATAACATTCAGAAATATTTTGGAGGTTGAGCCTGATGTAACTGTAGCTGTCGTTACTAACTTTCAATGTTTTATGTTTGTGTTTATCACAACAGCTTTATTATCCCAATTCTGCCTTAATGTTAAACATTTTCTCTTTGAACTTCTGTGTATTTATTCTAATAAAATTAATTCCAGTAACAAGGACCCACTGGGCAAAACCTCATGCCTCACTAGCTTAGGGAGCCTGTTGCTGTCTCCCTTTCCAGTTCAGAGTGTTCAGCAGCCCAAGTTCCTTTGCCAGAAGAGGACTGAGCTGCTTTGGGAAACAGAGCCCAGAGTAATCCTGTGGGTTTCCTTGGACTCTTGACTGCATTCATTCTTACTGAACTGCTAAACTTGAGAAAGAAGAAAATAGTTGCATTTATCTAATTGTTTGCACAAAGAAGATTAGGCAGTGTGGTATATTGGATAGGGAATAGATCTGTCTTTGCATGGCACATAGTAGAACTAGGTAAATGTGTTTCGATTGAATGAACAACAACCAGGTTCAAATCCCAGCTTTGTTACATAATAGCGAGGTGACTTTAGGCAAGTTGGTAAACCTCCCTAAATTTAATTTTTCTTTTCTAAGTGGGAATGGTATCATCTAATTCATAGAGTAGTCATGAGAATTAAATGTGATTAGTACTTCTCTGGAGGAAGAGAGGACGGGTTGCCTTTGTTTCTACTAATCACCAAGAAATATTATCAGCCTGGAACTGTGTTTTAAGTTGATTTCTCTGCTGGAGATTCTAGGACCACACAGGTAGTATAAACACACAACTAGAATAAATTCAATCTTCATAGGCCAAGGGTTCATATTCTTTTTTTTTTGGCTATTTGCTCTTCTTTATTTGTTTTCTCCTCCGGGGAAGGAGAAGGAAAATGGAGAGAAAAAGGAGAGGAAATGAAACTGAGCCAGCCGCATCTGTGGTGCCCGCCAGCTGCTCAGGAGCGAGGGTGGAAGCCAAGGTTCAAATTCTTAAGGAAATTTTCTTTTTTAACCTAAGCTTCCTGTTGTCTCTTTGTACTTTTGAGCCAGTTTATTTATTTATTTTTGACAATATGATATTCTCTAAGGTCCCAGCTTTATGCAGGGGAATTTGAATTAGAGAAAGTGGGCCTTTCCAAGGCCCAAAGCCTCATGTTCCACACTCTGTGACTTGAAAAGCAAGCCCTTGGATTGCCCAGACCAGAAAACCTTCCTGAAGCAGTCCAAGCTCTCTAAGAGAGGGCCTGATTTTTAGTTTCCTCTGTATTTTTAACTCCTTGAGATATTTTTCTTTCTTAAAGTCTCAACTCTGCCTATATTTGTTAGATAACATAAAGTATTTGTTTGATCAAGTTTTTCTAGGTGTTATGTAGTAGGCAAATTTTCAGGTTATTTTTTCCTTCACGTTGCTGGGTATAGAAGATCCAAGTGGGAATGCCAAATACAGTACATTAGAGTAAACATTTATTGTTAGTAACAGTAATGATTATGTTAAAAAGTACTTGACAATTACATTTTAGGTACTTCATATATATACTAATTATAATATTATTAATCATAAACTCAGTAGTACACTTTTTTTACAGTTAAAGAAACTGGTAGTTTAATTCAGGTCATATGACTTGGCCAGTGTATAGTATACCTTTTAAAGGATGAGGAAAAATTTGAACTTGGGTCTTTATATGTGTTTTCTATTATAGCAAGCTGATCTGTCTTAAAATATGTGCTCCTTTGCCCTAGCCAGTTTGGCTCAGTGGGTAGAGCATCGGCCTGTGAACCGAAGGGTCCTGGGTTCGATTCTGGTCAAGGGCACCTTGGTTGCAGAATCCTCCCTAGCCTGGGCCCTGGTCAGAGTGCATGCAGGAATCAACCAATTGATGTATTCCTCTCACATCGATATTTCTCTCTGTCTTTCCCTCTCTCTCCCACTCTCTCTAAGAAATCAATGGAAAAATATCCTTAGGTGAGGATTAGGAAAAAAAAATAATCAAAAAAATCTAAAAGAAAAAAAAAGTGCTCCTTTCACAGCTCCCAGTGATAAGCTAGGGAAGAGGATTATCTTTTCAATTTCTAGGACTAGGGAGCCTCACCTTTGAGGAGCTAGAAGCCTGTTCCTGGCCAGCAATCCCTCCATGGACTCCACTTATAAGGAGACAATTATAGTACACCAAGATAAGAGTTATCTTAGAGGGATGTGCCATTGTATTCCAAGAACCTAACATAATAAATAGATGTACAGATTGCTGTGGAAACATGGTGGATTTAGGGGAAAGGCCACAACTCTATCAGAGGTTGATGTCAAGAAAGGCTTCTGAGAAGTCAAGTATGGAACTGGGCTTGAAGCATGAGGTCTTAGTTCCAGGTCTGGTTCTGCTACTAATGACTGCAAGATACTGGGCAAATCCTGCCATATCTCTCTTGCCTTCACTTTCCCATTCAGGCTATGAGTTACTTATTTTATTTTTTATTTTTTAATCTTTTTTTTCGGGGGGGGAGGGCGGTCGGGCTATGAGTTGTTTAACAATTTCCCTTCCAGCTCTTAACATTCTGGACATTATAAATTTTTGTTAGATCTCTCTCTCTTTTTTTTTTTATAAAACAGCTGGCTCACTCATTTCCTTAATCTATTTCTTTTGCTTCTTCTTGAACACCATTTTCTGTGTACCTTTTTGGAATCCCTCGTATTAATGAAGGATCAGAAACAGGGAAGATGAGGTAAGCTCAGAACCCTTCCTCCTGTGGCAGTACCTTCTGTCAGCCCTCGGCTTCTTGCCCCAGAGCTCCTGACGTTCTTGGCAAGATCAGTAGGAAACATGGAAGTCTTTTCACAAATATTTTCCTGTGAAAGGGCAGTTATAGCCATAGCCACCACCTGTGAGTGAGTTTCCTTTTTATGCTAAATATTCTCATGCAATTTATTTTAATTTTTTACTAGTTACTTAAGATTCTTAGTCAGTTGAGATATAATTTAGTGGTCCTGAATATAGCTGAAAACTGGTGGGATCTTGATAAAGAACCAGAAGAGCTTTTGGCTATGCTGCACAGATTCTCATTGGAATGATTTTTGTTGCTTAATGTAGTGGGGAGAGTGCCTCTCCCCCCTTTTAAGTCAAAAGACCTGAGTTTGAGTCCTGCCTCTGCCTCTAACTAAATTTGAACAACTCACTTTACTTCCAAGTGCCTTGGTTTTTTTCTTTATAAAGTAGGAAAAATAACACCTACCCTACCTATCACTTGTTTATGAGACTTTAAGGAGATAATGATCTCCAAGAGCTTTTTAAATAAGACAGAGCTAGTCAGGATGGCACTGGGTCTGTGACTGGACTGACTGTTCCTATCCTGTAGGTTAACTGCTTGGGCAGCCGAGGCCCCAGGGGAGGCCAGGAGGTTGATGAGTTTAGCAACTTTACTAGTGCTGGAACTTCTTTTTTGTGTGTTTTGAAGACAACTCCCTGGCATTTGGGGACAGAATTAGCTTGCTA